TCCTGCTGACAGTTTGTCCTCTCCAGTGAGTAAGTGTTGCCGCTGTGAAAACACTCAGAAGCTTCGATGGCTTGTTGCTGCCTCAGAAATTCAGCCCAAACTCCTCAGGGAGACATTTAAGGTCTTCCCACTTTGGCCTCAGTTCTTCTCCCCACTCTCAAACCCAGCGTCCTCAGGCTCCAGCCAAGCGAGATGACTCACCGAGGTCCAAACGCTTCCTACATTTTCTTGTTTCCGTGTCTTGGCTGAGGACGTTCTCTCTGCTTCACACGTCTTTCCCAATCCCACGCCCGTACCCCCAGCTCTGCCTTGGGAATCTCTGCCTCTGCCACGCGGCCTCCTCTGCCTAACGGTAAGGGGATGCCTTCCTTCTTCGTTCATAGTCGGTTTTTGGTTTTCGTCGCTCTCATCTCACCCAGCCGTGTGCGGAGTGTGTGATCTTTCCTGCTGGATTGAAAGTTCCTAGAGAAGAGGAACTCTATTTTAGCCTATTTTGTTTGGTCCTTATCTCTTAGCAGATGGGCTATGCTTGGTGGGTCGGACTGGATTGGATTGGAGAGGGGGTAGAATAAATAGTGCAAAGGTAAATTTCACACCAGTTTCCATGAGGATTTAAAATACACTTCAAACGTGAAATCTGAACGATGTAATGAGGACCAGCGAGCACAGTAGGTGGCCTCTAGGGTATAACCGCCCTGCCCCATATGACTTAGGTGCCCTGGGTGGGCCTCTGACCTGGGCCACCACTAGAGTTGTGCCCCTTGAGCCTTAATCAATGGCACCCAGCTGAGGGTGTGTGGGGCTAGCATTCTATCCATGACTCCCTCATTGAGGGTATGCCCTGGGGCAGGTCTGCATATATCCAGAGAGAGGGCACCTTTTCACAATTTTCACAAAGGCACCATACGGTCTGGCAGAAGCCCTGACAGTAAAAACTCTCCCACAACATCAAGGCACCTTGAGTACAACATCTCCATCCCCAAATCTGTCATCTAACTACTCCTTCTACTAAGAATTATTGCACTGAATCCTGCCCATCCTAATCAATAGTTGTTTTACCACCATTTCTTGACTAGAGAGAGGTTTATATTAACTCGTTCAACAAATATTTATTCATCATTCACTAAGTTTAGAGGATGCAGAAACAACAAAGTCTCTGTCTCCATTAAGCTTACCTTCTAGTGGATTCTTATATTTAACTCTCACATGTTTTACTATCAAACAACCCACATAGGCTTAAAGTTATAACCAGGCTCCTACCTGGGACAGGTTTTTATTATAGCCCCGCTTGAGCTTTTCTTGAGAGTAGGGTTTCTGAGTTAAATGAGTACGTCAGTCTGGGGTAACAATTCTAGGCAAACCGCTTTGCCTTAGGTTGCTGAAGGGACAAGACGGGTGTCTCAGCATCGCCCCCTATGGTCACATGGCTAATTCCAGCTTCAGTTGATTCAGGGCATCCAGCCAAGCCTGTTGAGAGAGTCTGGATGCCCCAACGCATTTGCATTTTATATTAAGCTGCAAACTGAGCAGTTTCCAGCATCCAGCCCAGAGCCATCTTTAGGAAAATGTCCAAGGAGGGTCTTCCTGGGCATAGGCGAGGAAGATGGAAGTGGTCCCGTGACAACTGTGGGTGTAAGCTATGATGCTTCTATTGGCAGAAGCAGCATTTATTTTACCACATTGTCCTTTTGTGCCTGCAGATGGAAAGCGGTGCACCATTTCCAACTGAGGGCTCATCTCAAAGGCAAAAATCAACGCCATCAAGTATAGCATTGTCATCATTCTTGGTAAGCAACGTCCCTCCTTCTGTTGCAGAATTGTGTGGACGTTCCAAAAGCAAATTTGTACCTAGAACCTGGTAGGTAGAGAGCCCATACAATTAAAAAATTTGTCTACAGGCACTTCTACTTTTGTCTGCTTAGATAAGAATATGTGGAGCTAATCAGTCCATCTATGCCTCCTTCAAGGGCTGACATTTGGTTTCTAATCACTCTCTTTATGAATATTGTTGTCCACCACAGCCCTGGGGTGGGTAATGTGGAGAAAATCAATTAGGACATAACTGGCTGAAGCTGATGCTCACCATCATCCCGTTGACCCAGCTGCTTTCCTGAAGGCACACTCTCCCCAACCAGAGGAAGACAGAAGTGGCCTTCCATTTCTTCTGGATATTTAATGTCAAGGTCGCTATAAATCCTTCCCTAACGGATGCCTTATCTTCTCTCCACCCTACTGTCGTCTTCCCTTTCCTTTTCCTTTCTCTCTGCTCTTAACACCCATAAAGTCACCTCATCTCAGGAAAAAAACAAAAAAGGCATTTCTAGAGTACCTAATATATGTCAGACTGGTGTACGTTCTTTGTTATTCTCAAACCTTCAAAATTTTCTCTCCCTCCCACCCTCTCAGTTAATGACCGATTCTTATTTCACTGAGAAAATACTCTATCAGAAAAGAACTTCCTCATGCTCCTGCCTTCACATCCATGGACCTACCTGCATCTCCATCTGTCTCTTCTCCTATTACCATGGATAAACTGTCTCTGCTTCTTTCTAAATCCAAAATGCTCACTTGAGCCCTGTATCCCATTCCTTCCTGCCAACTCAAGATTTGCTTCTCCAGTCATCTCCTCACCCCCACAGATGTCTCCCTTGCCTGGATCGTATGCACACAAGCATACTGTAATAGCTCCCTCGATAAACTCTCCCATAACAGACCCTCTTTAACACTCTCTTTTCTAGCAGAACTCCACTTTTCACCTCTCATTCTCTGGAGTCTATTTCTGTTAGCTTTCTTTCCTATTACTCTAGTAAAGGCATCCTTATCAAGGTCACCACAACCAACAAAATGCCAAATATTAATTCTCAATCTTTACCTTACTTGACTTCTAAGCAACATTTGATTCGTCCTTCTTTGGAACACTTCCTTTGCTTGGAAATTATATCTATGATTTCTACTTGAAATCTCTGTGTATAATTTCTAATAAGCTTATCATACTCGACATGAAAACCCAGAAGTCTCATGCTCTCCTACCTCCTGCAAGATAACTCTTCCTCCTATTGCCCCCAGTTCAGTAAATGACAGCATCTTTCACCCAGTGTACACACCAAAAACCTAAGAATCATCTGTCTGTCATGATTCTATTTCTCTCCCACCTCACATACCTAGTCCATCAGTAAGGCCCAGAGGCTTTACCTACAAAAGAGATCTCGAATCCAACCATTTCTCAGCATCTATACAATTATTTCCTTGGTCTAAGCTCCCACCAACTTCTCCCTAGAACACCGCAGCTGATCTTCTCTTATTCCTTCCCTGCAAAGCAGCCAATGTGATCTTTTTAAAAATGTAAATCAGACACTTTCACTACCCTGCAAACCCACATATAGCTTCCCATTACATTGGAATAAAGTCCTACTTTTTCCCATGTCTTGCGTGGCCTCTGTGATCTATCCCCCAGCCAAGTCTCCAGCCCCATTCCCCTGCTCTCCCCCTTTCCTATTCTATAACAGTCACAATGGTTTTCTTGCTATTTCTTCAGAATGTCAACTTGTTCATACCTTGCACTGTTTCCCCCACCTGTAATGTTCTGCCTTCAGATGGTGGCATGGCTTATCCCTCACATCATCTTGTTTTCCAACAATACCACCTCTTCAGAAAGACCTCCCTGATAAGTCTTAAATAGCTCTTCTGTAATCTTTACCCTACCTTATTTTTCTTCGTATTTCTACTTCTACCTGACAGTATAGGATAGATATTGATCTGCTTATTGTCTGTCTCCCCTGCTGGCATAAGAAATCTGAGAGCAATGACTTTTGCTTTTGTGTTCCTTACATTATTATCACCAAGGCCTTAGGGGGTCCACACACACTAGGTGCTTGATTAATATTAGTTGAATGAATGAATGAGGTTATGCAAGAAGAAAAGGGATTTATACCATTTCCTTTTTATTTAGCTCAAATACTACCCCTCCCTACCCTTCTTGCAGCTCTTGGGAGCTCTGGGAGCATAGCTCTCACGTTAGCTCTTCTAGTGTATATCAAATCACCAGAACCGTCCAGCTCACCTTTCTAAAATGCAGCTGCAAAATGCCAAACAGACCACAAACAGTGTGACTCAGCGAGCAGAACATAGTCACAAAACAACACTGCAGGCAGACCTGGAAATAGAGCATATACCACCCACCAGGGCTCAAAATCCTTTCCCAGAAGCTTCTGAGGTAGATCAAAGATTATCTTGCCTTCCCAGATAACAGAAGCACAGATGCACATTCCCTGGATGTTGAGTTAGGAAACATATCTTATACATGTGTTTCAGAGCCAATATAGCCTTTCATAATCAGGGACTATATTCCCAGGCACTGGGCTCGCTTTAGTCAGAGAGCAGTGCTGTCCACAAGGAGGTCAGCCAGTGTCAACAGCCCACTCCTTCCTATAACAAATATTTTGTAACGCCCCTTTACCACCCTGAAATGAAATGTCTACATAAAACTATCTAGTTAACATAATTCTTAAAGGATCAATATACAATAGTATAAAGGAGGAATAGAAAGAAAATAATTTATAATAAAATAACACAGATTTCAATATAGAAATACTTGGGCCCAATGAAGTAGTCATAGCTCCAAATGGAAACCAATGCAGGTGTGTTTTCATGGAGACATGAAACCTAAGCAGTATTGCTGCCAGTGACTTTATTTTCCCAGCAGGTGAGCAAATCCTGCTAAAGATCCAAATTAAACAAAGTAATCTTTCCTCTATTTGCAAGGGAATTACACTTCTGGAAGACTCAGTATTTATTTAAAATATTGTGTTCATATATAAAACAGAGTTAGGTTTCTAGATTGGGGTCATTATAAACGGGGTTCTCTGCTACATAACATTTGAAGGATGTATGGGACATGGGTGGGACTGCCCGCATCGTGCAGGAGGACCGGTATCCCTAGGAAAACCAGAATCCTCCTCTAACACACACAAATACATAAACATGCATTTTAAAAATTCCCCCAAATGGAAGCTTTGCCCCTCCATGCCCCAGAACCACTATTCTGGGCCAATGCCAGGTTTCACCACCTGAACCCAGAATGTTTAGTGGTCTTTGTGTTTGAATTGCTCCGTTTTAATAGATTGCTAAGGTCTGGGGTAAAAAATGTGTCAGTCCGGGCTTCCCTGGTGGCGCAGTGGTTGGGAGTCCGCCTGCCAATGCAGGGGACGCGGGTTTGTGCACCGGTCCGGGAGGATCCCACGTCCCGCAGAGCGGCTGGGCCTGTGCGTCCGGAGCCTGTGCTCCGCAACGGGAGGGGCCACAGCAGTGAGAGGTCCGCGTACCGCAAAAAAAAAAAAAAGTGTCAGTCAAAGTGTTAGGGAGGAAAGTTGGTTCCTGCAGCCAGATGGCAAAGGAAGCCTGACTTCTCTGAGGAAAAATCCTATGTGTGAGAAAGGGGGAGAAAAAGGGTGGAGAGGATGCAGCAAGAAAGTAGGAGAGCACATGTGTGCGTCCAGTCAACCCCAAGAAGGTTTATCTCTGTGGTAATAATCTGGGTTCTCCAGAGAAATAAAAGATAGATATATATGTAAAGAGATTATTATAAGCAGTTGGCTCACATGATTGTGGAGCCGAGAAGTGCCCAGATCTATAGACCCAGGAGAGCTAAAGGTATAGTTTCAGTCTGAGTCAAACTGAGAAGCTAGAAGATAGTCAAGCAGACAGAGTGACTCGCCTCTCACTCAGCCTTTTTTATTGATTTAAATTTTTTCCCCTAACCAGTGTTAGGAAGATATTTTCTTTTTTAAAAAAATTAATTAATTAATTAATTTATTTTTGGCTGTGTTGGGTCTCCATTGCTGAGCACGGGCTTTCTCTAGTTGCAGCAAGCGGGGGCTACTCTTCGTTGCAGTGCACGGGCTTCTCATTGCAGTGGCTTCTCTTGTTGTGGAGCATGGGCTCTAGGTGTGTGGGCTTCAGTAGTTGTGGCACGTGGGCTCAGTAGTTGTGCCTCGTGGGCTCTAGAGTGCAGGTTCAGTAGTTGTGTCTCCTGGGCTCTTGAGCACAGGCTCAGTAGTTACGGCACGCAGGCTTAGTTGTCCGTGGCATGGGGGATCTTCCTGGACCAGGGATCAAACTCATGTCCCCTGCATTGGCAGGTGGATTCTTAACCACTAGCCACCAAGGAAGTCTCACTCAGCCTTTTCATTGTATTCAAGACTTCAGTGGATAGAATAATGCCCACTCATTGTGGAGAAGACAATCTGCTTTTTTTAGTTTACAAATTCAAATGTTAATCTCATTCAGAAACAGTCTCACAGAAACAACCAGAAATAACGTTTAACCAAATATCTGGGCACCCCATGACCCAGTCAAGGTGACACATAAAACTGGCCATCACACTCTGGATCTCCATTTCTCATCCCTTTCCTCTGAGGATTTGGATCCAAAGAGAAATCAGACAGAGTCTCACCCACACCAACTGATTTGTAAGAGGTATAGGGTGGGTGTTTTCTGGAGTGGCTGACTTAGAAATGGAAAAGAAAATTGAGAATCTTGTGACTTAGCCAGGCTGTGTTTCGAAACATTAGGTACCACCCTTCGCCTCATCTACCCCAAATCAGGAGTCACTATATGGGCAAAGTGCTCCCTTTTCTGTCTTTTCCCATAGAGTCTCCAAAGGGATTTGCTGGGTTTCCTTTCACACTGTGTAGAATGAGAGGCTAAGGCCATGCTCAACAGTTCCCAGCCTTTCAGTAATCCCTACAGTGGTCAGATTGGAGCCTCCCTTTACAAATAGAGAAGCTCCAGCAAATTTACTCAGTTTTAGAAATGCATCTGTGGGATGTAATGTATGTATGTGTAGATGTCTGTGTTTAAGTAAATATGACATTAATGTTAACACACACACAACTGTTCTAAATATTTCTGAGAGATTCCAGGTGCTAAGGAAGCTCCTAGTTGAAGCTGCAATCAGGGCCAACACAGAGGGCCCCCTGGGCTGTGGGCTGCTATGGTGCTAACGGCTCTTTTCTCCCCAGCCTTCATCTGCTGTTGCAGTCCGAACCTCCTCTTCGATATCTTGGACAATTTCAGCCTCCTTCCAAACACTAAGGAGCGTTTCTATGGCTCTGTGATCATTCAGAACCTGCCGGCCTTGAATAACGCCATCAACCCCCTCATCTACTGTGTTTTCAGCAGCTCCATCTTCATTCCTGCCTGGGTCAGACATGGGAATGCCCACTGCAGTCACCTCCAACCTGTGTCTTCCTCATGCCGGAGCTCCCTGGCAGATTACAGATGAGACACTGGAGGGTCAAAAATGTTCCGCTAGTACGACAAATTCAAATCCAGCCTCATCCATGGCTCATGCTTTCTCCTACATTACGTCACCTCTTATAGCAACCATCCTAATCAGGTCACATATAGAAGACCTTTTTTTTTAGTTCAAAGCTTCTCTACATGAGTTGTCGCAATACAATGCCTTGGTGATAGCAGAACATGAAGCATTATTATCATTTTACAGATAAATTCAGGCTCACAAGGTTACATGACATTATTGAGATTATATGAATAATTAGTTGCAGAGCTGAAATTAGATCCCTCCCACATCTACTCAGTCTGCTGTTTTTCAGCTGTTTTACTGCACAAGCTACACGGAATAGGTGGAAAAATACACAGGATATAGAATCGTAGAATGGTTTCAGGTTTGGGTTTGATGCCCTCCACTGGATCTCTCTTCCATCAATTGACAAGGTCTTTCAAGTCCTTCTAGAATTATGGATGGTAGCATTTCTCAATGATCCTAAAAATCATTGATAAGTACTAGAATGGCTACCATCCCTGCCCCCCCTTGCCTCTGGCCTCTCGCTCGTGGCCGCACTCCCCTCCCCTCCCCTCCCCTTTCGTCTTGTCTCCGTGATAGAATCGAAGAATGGTTTCAGGCTTGGGTTTGATGCTGCCATTGCTGATTCATAGCTACACGTGACCTAGGGAAAGTTATTTAACTTCCATAAACCTGTTTCCTCACTTGTAAAAAGGGGCTAATAGCAGTGCCTACCTCTTAGCCAGTGATGTCTCTGTCCATTGGGCTCTGGTCCTGACCAGTAGGAAGGAGGGCTGTGAATGGTGGGGAAGGAAGGTGAGGGGTATTACATATAAAGTGCTTAGCATAATGTCTGATTCTTAATACATTCTCCATAACTGTTAGCTCTTAACATCCCTACTTCCCTTTTCATTAGGTCAAATTATTTTTCCTCTCTGCTCTGTTCTTTCTCTAGGGAGCAAAGATCACGGGATTCCAGAATGACATGTCAGGAGAGAACTGAGAGGCATGAGATGCAGATTCTGTCCAAGCCAGAATTCATGTAGACCCTGAGGCAGTGGTATTGCTGGGCTGAGCCCCATCAGCTCTCCTGGGTCCCCATCAGCACCCTGGGCATGTGCATGAAGCCTGAGCCAACTTCTCCACCCTGCACTTTTCATCACTTGGGGGGGTGCACAAGGAAAACACCCTAATGAGTGTGTGTCACCTGCATTGTCAAGTTTTAGCCAATATGAAGTAACATACTATTCACACCAGCGAGGAAAGATGCCCCTTCTTTCCCCACCACTCCCAGCTGTCCGTCCCACTGGTCAGCACCAGAGTCAATGGACAGAGACTTCACTGGCCCAGGGCCTAGGCTTGGGCAAGCAGAAGGGACTAAAGAAGCATGGTACATGTGTCTTATAATTACAGTTTAAGAAGTAAATAAAAGTCTTACCTGGGCCTAGATTTTCCTCCCATTTTTGGATTTAAGTTTCAGTAGTTGTAGCCAAAGAGATGTTTGTCTTGAACTGCCAACAAATTCACTTCCAAGCATTGAAGCTTTGCGTCTCCTCTGCAGATGGCCTTGGTTGGCAGATGGATGTGTTGGCAGCAGCCAACCTCACAGTCTCATTGTATCAACAAATGATTTGTAGAAAGAACACAAATGCTGGCCCTCCAGAGCAAGGTTGAAATTGAGGGGTACTTTCTCTGGTAGGAAAAGAAATAGTACAAAAAGTCATGGGTCCCTGACCGCGCCAGGCTCTGAGAGTTGGGACCTGGGTCTCAACACATGGCTTTTCGGCTCTCTGAAGGCTCCTCCCTTTGCATTCTACATTTAGGCCACTCTGGGCTCCATTCCTCATACCTCAGGGACACTTCTCTCTCTTTAGTTGGGAGCTGAATTCCTGTGGCTTTTCCAGGCATGATGTTGCTCTAAGATCTTTATCATTTTTGCATGTTGCACCCATTGTCTATCTAACACCTTGGCTGGGAAGCACTGGTGAGGCTTATTTTGACAAGTCCGGAGTTTGGTGTATATAAGCATAATCCAAGTGAAATATCACTAAATGTTTTCTAGTCAACTTTTATCATCAGATTTTTCCATAAGTGGAAGTGGAATAATTTAATTTGATTATATATACATCCACACCCACGGCTCTGGGATGCGCGTGAGCTCCTTATTTTTAGCCTCACATACATTCTTGACATTAAAATCTCCTTGGCAAAACCCTTCTTCCCAGAATTATTCTGAGCTTAAGCCTTTTTTTTTTTTTTTTTTGGTCTACTGCTAGTGGAGTTATTAAAATCTGCAATATATTTTAATAGCACTCTATTCCCCATTATGGTGTCAACCCAAAGATTTCACATTTAAGGTCACAGTGGCATTTTTCCCATAAACTCTCTTTCCAATTCCATCTGACCTTAGGGAAAGTATTTCTTAGCCAGAAATCAGATTCCTCAGTCACCATCTCTCCGAATTATTTTCTGAATTTGAAGAGACTGAATAATCTAGTTGTATGTCTACAGAACAGTTTTGAAGGCTGCCTTCCTTTCTGTCCAATCAGTTAAAAGTGAGAAACCCTGGAAGCTTTGAGTGGTTGAGAAGTGCTTTTTGACATTTCACTTTAAATCAAGATGTGCCACAGAAGACCCACAGAATCATTGCTAAAATAACTGCCTGCATGGGAGCCTATTAACAGCAAAATCTGGCGGCTGTCCTAAGTGGCAAAATGGGAGGCCTGGGTTCTTTTTGACAGATGCTTTCAATCTCTGTCAAGTTCTGGTCTGCAAAAGACATTACAAGCCTACCTCACCCATCAATAGACCCTGAAAGTTAAGGAGAGAGTTGAGTGAGGGGCTTTGTGCTCCTTAAAAACTGTGAATGTGATTTTGTAGTTGTTGTGGTGCTGTGTCTCCCATTCCCAGTGAAGACTGGAGATCAGTAAGATGATGGTACAGGCTGCTGCAGGGTAAGCTGCCATTAAAATGAAACTTGCTTCACATTGGTGTGGATTCTAGAATCTTCATTCTCATGTATTTTCTGAGCTTGAGGAAACATGATTTAAACATTGAGGAACACTGGTAATTGTTCCATAGTCTTATGACCTTGGACAAATCATTTAATGTCTCTGAGCATCAACTGTCTCATCTGTAGGATGGGAACAAAATAAGTCTGGAGCAGAGGGTCCTGTGGGTTCTTTAGAGATACAGGTTCTGAGATTGTAAAGACTTAAATTACATCCAGAGAGTCAGAGCTTCTGGAATTTCTCCCCCAGGGGACCAATGACTGTATGACTCAAAGCTGAGTTATTAGCTCTTTAGAAATTGTAACTTCCCCCTCTATCACCATGAAGTGAGAGAAACATCATTTCCTAATTGGGAAATACAGTTTGAGCTCTTGGAGGAAGTGAGCACTTTAGTGTTGGGATGTCACCGCTTGTAGCCTTGGATGCCCAAGTTGGGGCAGAGAAGCCAGCAGGGTGCTATATAAAACAAAGGTGCTTACTTCCTACATCAAGATGTCAAAGAAATGGTTACATTATCTCATAGCTTTAGGCACAGGTGAAAATTTAGGATAACGAGAATAAGTGTGTTTAATATATTTAGCCATGCTAGAGAAAATGTGTCTCTGCTTTACTGAACTAAATTAAATATAAATGGTAAAAACTTCTCTACTTTCAGGGCTTGTGTTGAGCATAATTTAATGGAAGTTTAATTTTGCCAAGCAACATCTCCCACTTTTTCCCCCCAGAAACTGGTAATACCTTTTTAATGGCTTTAGTTTGTGATTATGATGAGAAAAAATGTACTCCATCTCAACCAAACAAACATGCAGCTTAAATTTGCTTCCTCATTTCATTTGGACAAATCTGTACATCCATATACAGAAAGGATTTTGACTCTTCCTTCTGCATCCACAGTGTCAAAAGGGACCACAAGCCTGGGTCTGCTGGGGAAACAGGAAAACAAAAATATTTTTGGCAGGAAATAAAGCAGTTCTGCTCTTCTAGGATCATCTTGGGTGAACTACAGGGCTACGGGCAACTACAGTTCTTTTATCATCATCTGAATATACCTCATTTTATATGCAGATCTACCAGTGTTTTCTGCAGCTTTTCAATTGTATTTGATTGAAAGGAGATGGTCCTGTTTAGGGGCCAACCTCCTCGCTTTTGGAAACTTGAAAAACACATGCTTCATTTCTCTGCAGTTGCATTTTAAGAATGCATTATCCTCAACAGGACTGGTTTGGTTAACATTTTTAAAGTGCAATTCCACGCGTATAGAATATGAAGGTGGATGGAGGCTTGGGTCATGTAGTCTCATGGTTTTCAGTCTGCTCAGGGACCCCCTGAGAAGTCCCAGAGAGGTGACTCAGTATTCATATTTGTACACACAAAAACAGTATATGTGTAAGCCTAGAAGAAACTAAAGATAGTTAAATTGCTTAAAATCCTTGAGTTACCTGGAATGAGGGTAGAATATAGATTACCATTAGACATTGACACACCAAGAATGCATGTTTTAATTTCAAGAACCCATGTTGTAATCACTAAAATAACAGAAATAAAGTATATAACTTCGAAACTAAAAGAGAAGAAAAACAAATGATAAAATCACTCTAGCAGTCCAAAAGAAGGCAAGAAAAAAGAGATATAGGAACATGAACAGCTGGGACAAATAGAAAGCACATAGGAAAATGGTGGATTTTCTTTTGTCCAAATATATCAGTAACTGTAATAATGTAAGCAGATTAAATGCTCCAGTTAACAATCAAAGATCATCACACTAGACTTTTGTTTGCAAAAGACATGCCTAAAACACAATGACACAGAAAGTTTGGAAGTAAAAGAGTGGACAAAGGCATTCTATGGAAACAGTACTAAAAGAAAGCTGGTGAGACTATATTAATAAAACCTAAATAAACTTTAAGGCAAAAAGCACTAGTAGAGTTAAACAGGGACATTTCAAGTGATAAATGTTTTAGTTCAATAAGATGATGTAATAATTCTGAATTTCTATGCATTTACAATATGGCCTCAAAGTATGTATTCCAAAAAGTCAGAACTACAAAACAAATAGACAAATCCACAGCCGTAGTGGGGAATTTTATCACTCTTAATTCCAGTAATTGAAGCAGGCAAAAATAAGGAATGATCTGCATAACTGGAACAACACGAGTAACACAGGTAGATCACTTTATCCTACCACCCCAGAGTAAAGAGTCTTTTCAAGCACATGTGAAGCAGTTATAAAAGGTGACCATACGCCAGGCCATAAAACAGGCTTCAAAACTTTCAAAAGATTGAGGAGGCTTCCCTGGTGGCACAGAGGTTAAGAATCCGCCTGCCAATGCAGGGGACGCGGGTTCAAGCCCTGGTCTGGGAAGATCCCACATGTCACGGGGCAACTAAGCCCATGTGCCACAACTACTTAGCCTGCGCTCAAGAGCCCATGTTCTGCAACAGGAGAAGCCACCGCAATGAGAAGCCCGTGCACCACAACGAAGAGTAGCCCCCGCTCACCACAATTAGAGAAAGCCCATGTGCAGCAACAAAAACCCAACACAGCCAAAAATAAAAAAAATTTTTTAATTAAAAAATAAAAAGCTTTCAAAAGATTGAGCTCATATAGTCTGGTTTCTCTGATCACAATGCAATTATGCTAGAACTCAAGAGCAAGAGTATAACTAGAAAATTACCATATGTTTGGAAATTAGGAAATATGTTTCTTAATAACTTATGGTCAAAGAAGAAAATACGTGAAAAGTAGAAAATAATTGTACTGAATGATAATGAAATTATATCAAATGTGCGGGATACAAACTAACACTAGAAAGAAGAATTTTTCTTCTTTTCCTTTAAGTCAATGAGTAAATCATCTATCTTATGAACGTAGGAAAATTCACCAAAATAGACCCAGAGGAAATATAAGGAAGAAAATAATAAGAGTAGGAGTAAAATTAATGAAATAGAAAACAAACATATGGGAATTCCCTGGTGGTCCAGTGGTTAGGAC